AGCACAACAGATGTGACTAGGCTGGGCCACCCCAGCAGAATGGGCAAGCCACCAGCGCCTCAGGCCTGGGTGCAGAAAGCCAGTGATCAGGTCCCTGGCCTCCAGCACAAGAAGCTTGGGACTGTGCCCCAGGAGCAGAGTTCAATTTTAAAAGTCACAAAATCGGCTAAAAATGAGCAAAAAACAGAAAAGAGCCCTGACCTAGAAAGCTACTATGGGGACAGGAAAGATCCAAACACAAACACAGCAAAGGACAACAATGTCAAAATGCCTACATGTGAAGCCTCAAAGGGGAATATGCATCAGTTTCAAGCCCAGAAACCCTTTGTGGAAGAACTCAAAAGGGATTTTAAAAATCAAATAAGAGAGGTAGAAGAAAAATTGGGAAAAGACATGAGTTATGCAAGGGAGAGTCAACAGCTTGGAGAAGGAGGGACAAAAATTGACTGAAGAAAACAATTACTTAAAAAGTAGAATTGTCCAAATGGAAAAGGAAGTATAAAAGCTAACTAAAGAAAAGAATTCCTTAAAAATTAGAATTGGACAAGTGGAAGCTAATGACTATGAGACATAAGAATCAGTCAAACAAAATCAAAAGAATTAACAAAATAGAAGAAAGTTAAAAATACCTCATTGGGAAAACAACTGACCTGGAAAATAGATCTAAGAGATGAAAGAATCAGAGCTGAATATAAAATCTGATTTTCAAATACAAGACTCAAGAAAAGCATACAAATGTGACCAGAAAAGAGAAAACATAAGGGATTTAATAAACTTAAATTGTTTACATCCTTACACAGGAAGGTGATACTTGTAACTCTTAAGAATTTTATCACTATTAGGGTAGTCAGGAGTATATATAGATGGAGGGTGCGGGTATAAGTTGACTTTTATGAAGTGATATCCAAAAAAACCCCAAAACAAAATTAAAGGTGAGAAAGAGGATTGTACTGGGAGAAAAGAGAAAGGAAAGATAGAATGGGGTAAATTACCTCACATGAAGATGTGCAAAAGACCTTTAACAGTGGAGGGAAAGATTGGAAGTGAGTGAGCATAACTTGAGCCTTACTCTCATTAGAATGGGCTCAAAGAGGAAGTAATATACACACTCAAATTCTTAGAGGAGAAGTTAAGTAAATTACAGGAAGAAATAGATAGCAAAACTATAATTGTGGGGGACCTTAACCTCCCCCTCTCAGAACTAGATAAATCTAACCACAAAATAAACAAGAAAGATGTTAAGGAGGTGAATAGAATTTTTAAAAAGTTGGATATGATAGATCTCTCAATAAAGTTGAATGAAGATAAAAAGGAATTACCTTTTTTTGAATGGTATATGACACTTACACAAAAACTGACCATATATGAGGGCATAAAAACCTCACAATCCAGTGCAGAAAGGCAGAAATATTAAATGCATCCTATTCAGATAATAATGCAATAAAAATTACATGTAATAAAGGGCCATGGAAAGATAGATCAAAAATTAACTAGAAACTAAATAATCTAATAATAATAGTGGGTCAAACAAGAAATCATAGAAACAACCAATAATTTCATCAAAGACAACAATAATGAGACAACATGCAAAAATTTATGGGATTCACCAAAGCAATTCTTAGGGAAAATTTTGTATCTCTAAATGTTTACATGAATAAAACAGAGAAAGCAGAACAATGAATTAGGCGTGCAACTAAAAAAGCTAGAAAAAGAAAAATTAAAAATCCTCAAATACGTACCAAAGAAATCAGAGGAAAGATTAATAAAATTGACAGTGAGAAAACTATTGAATTAATAAATGAAACTTAGAGCTGGTTTTATGGGAGAATAAATGAAATAGATAAACCTTTGGCTAATTGATTAGAAAAAAAAAAAAGAAAACCAAATTACCAGTATCAAAAAAGTAAAGGGTGAATTCACCTGCAATGTAGAGGAAATTAATAACTAGAAGTTATGTTGCCTAGCTGTATGCTAATACATCTGACAATCTAAGTCAAATGGATGAATATTTACAAAAATATAAATTGCTCAGTTGAATGGAAGAGGAAATAAAATACTTAACCCCATTTTAGAAAAAGAAATTGAATAAGCCATCAATGAACTCCCTAAGAAAAAAATCTCCAGGGCCAGATGGATTTGCAAGTGATTTCTACCAAACATTTAAAGGACAATTAATTCCAATACCATGTAAACTATTTGGGAAAATAGGTGAAGAAAGAGTCCTACCAATTTTTTTTTTTTATGACACAACCATGGTGCTGATACCTAAACCATGAAGAGCCAATACAGAGAAAGAAAATTATAGAGCAATTTCCCTAATGAATGTTGATGCAAAAATTTTAAAGAAAGTATTAGCAAAGAGATTACAGCAATTTACTATGAAGATAATACACTATGACCAGGTAGGATTTATAACAGAAATGCAGAACTGGTTCAATATTAGGAAAACTCTTAGCATAATTAACCATATCAATAACAAAACTAACAAATCATATGATTATCTCATAGATGCAGGAAAAGCTTTTGACAAAATATAGCACCCATTCCTATTCAAAAAAAAAAAAGAGAGCATAGGAATAAATGGAGTTTTCCTTCAAATGATAAGTAGTATCTATCTAAAACCACCAGCAAGCATTATCTGAAACGAAGATAAGCTAGAACCTTTCCCAAAAAAATCAAAGGTGGACCAAGGATGCTCATTATCACCACTATTATTCAATATTGAACTAGAAATGTTAGCTTTAGCAATAAGAGAAGAAAACAAAATTGAAGAAATTAGAATAGACAATGAGAAAACAAAACTATCACTCTTTGCAGGTGATGTGATGGTATTCTTAGAGAATCCTAGAGAATCAGCTAAAAAACTACTTGAAACAAATAACAGTTTTAGCAAAGTTGCAGGACACAAAAGAAACCCACATAAATCAACAGCATTTCTATATATTACAAACAAAGCCCAGGGGCAAAAGATAGAAAGAGAAATTCCATTTAAAATAACTATAAAAAATATAAAATATTTGGGAATCTATCTGCCAAAACAAACCCAGGAACTATATGAACACAATTACAAAACACTTTCTCACAAAATCAGATCTAAACAATTGGAAAAACATCAATTGCTCATGGGTAGGCTGAGCTAATATAACAAAAATGACAATTCTGTCTAAATTAATTTACTTACTCAGTGTCATACCAATCAAATTACCAAAAATTGTTTTACAGAACTAGAAAAAATAATGACAAAATTCATCTGGAAGAAGAAAATGTCAAGAATATCAAGGGAATTAATGAAAAAAAAATACAAAGGAAGGTGACCTAGCCATACCAGATCAATGTTATAAAACAGAAACTGTTAAACTATTGGGTACTGGATAAAAAATAGAGTGGTGGATCAGTGGAATAGGTTAGCTACACAAGACATAGTAGTAAATGACTATGGTAATCTACTGTTTGATAAACCCAAAGACTCCAACTTCTGGAATAGGAACTCACTATTTGATCAAAAACTGCTGGGAAAACTGGAAAATAGTATGGCAGAAACTCAGGGTAGATCAACATCTCACACTTCATACCAAGATAAAGTCTAAATAGGTACAATATTTAGACAAATTAGAAGAGCAAGAAATAGTTTACCTATCAGATCTATGGAGAAGAGAAGAATGTATCACCAAACAAGAGATAGAGAACATCATGAAATGCAAAATGGACACTTTTGAATTTAAAATTAAATTAAAAAGGTTTTGCACAAACAAAACCAATGCAACCAAAATTAGAAAGAAAGCAGAAAGCTGGGAAACAACTTTTACACACAATATTTCTGATAAAGGCCTCCTTTCTTAAATATAGAGAACTGAGTCAAATTTATTATAATAATACAAGTCATCCTCAAATTGATAAATGGTCAAAGGACATGAACAAGAGGTTTTCAGATGGAGAAATTAAAGCTATCTATAGTCATATTTTAAAATGCTCTAAATCATTATTGGCTTATGCAACTTAATGCATAAATACACAAATGCAACTTAAAACAACTCTGAAGTACCACCTCATGTCTACCAGATTGGTTAATATGACAGAAAAGGAAAGTGATAAATGTTGGAGAAGATGTGGGAAAATTGGAACACTAATGCATTGTTGGTGGAGTTGTGAACTGATCCAGTCTTCTTGGAGAGCAATTTGGAGCTGTGCCCAAAGGGCTATAAAACCCTGCATACCCTTTGATCCAGCAATACCATTACTAGGTCTGTATCCCCCCAAAAAGGGGAAAGGATCCACATGTACAAAAATATTCATAGCAGCTCTTTTTGTCGTGGCCAAGAATTGGAAATTGAGGGGATGCCCCTCAGTTGGGGAATGGCTGAACAAGTTGTGGTATATGAATGTAATGGAATACTATTGTGCTATAAGAAATGTTGAGCAGGTGGATTTCAGAAAAACTTGGAAAGACTTACATGAACTAATACTCAGTGAAGTGAACAGAACCAGGAGAACATTGTACACAGTAACAGCAATATTGTATGATGATCAACTATGATAGACTTAGCTCTTTTCAGCAGTACAATGATCCAATGTAATTCCAAAAGACTCAGGATAGAAAATGCTGTCCAAAACCAGAGAGAGAGTGTGGAGTCTGAATGCACATCAAAGCATCCTATTTTCACTTTTTGTTGTCATTTTTTGTTTTTTCTTTCTCATGATTTTTCCCTTTTGTTCTGATTTTCCTTTCACAACATGACTAATGTGGAAATGTGTTTATCATGATTGTATATGTGTAACCTATATCAGACTGCTTGGTGTCTTGGAAAGGGGGAAGAGGAGGAATAAAAGGAGAAAAATTTGGATCTCAAAATCTTATAAAAATGATGTTGAAAATTATCAAAATGTAATAATAATATAATAATAATAATAATAATAATAGCAGCTTTTCTTTACTACTTGAAGGCTTACAAAGTGCTATACATATATCATCTCATTTAATATAATTGTATACCCATTTAAAGCTTATCTTGGAATTTGGTGCTGTCGGTCCAAGTCTGACTTCTGCCAGCCTCTGTCCAGTTTTCCTGGCAGTGTTTGTGAAATGGGTGAGGTAGAAATGAAGAAGAGAGGCCTTCCTGCAGAAACTAGTTCTGTGAGTTTATCAAATACTATGTCACTGTGTTTCTGTACTTCTTCATACCTGCATCTGATCTATTCCACTGAGTCACCTGTCTCTCCCTCTCTTTTCAAACCAGTACTAAGTCATTTTAAATTAAAACTGCTTCATAGTACAGTTTGAAATCTGCCACTAATCAACCCCCTTCTTTCCCATTTTTTCCCTTTATTAGCCTTGAGATTTACCTTTTCTGTATTTCTATATGAATTTTTTTCATTTTGTTATTTTTTCTATTTCCACAAAATATGCTTTTGGGAGTTTTATTGGTACAGAATTGAACAAGTAAATTAGTTTACATATTATTAGATGCCATTATTTGTTGTTTGGTCATTTCCATTCTGTTCAACTCTTTGTGACCCCATTTGAGGTTTTCTTGGCGAAGATACTGAAGCGGTTTGTCATTTCCTTCTCCAACTCATTTTATAGTTGAGGAAACTGAGGCAAACAGGGTTAAGTGACTTGCCCAGGGTTACTCAGCTAATAAGTGTCTAAAAGCCAGATATGAACTCAGGTCTTCCCTACTCCAGACCTAGTACTCTATCCACTTCACCACCTAGCTGCCCATTATTAGATAGAATTAAATAATATTAGATAATATTATCATTTTTATTATAAAGGTTCAATTTATCCATGAGCAGTTAACTTTCATCCATTTTTCCTCTCTGGTTTTCCATTTCCTACTTCATAAGATTGTCTTGAGGTTCACAGGATAATGTATGTAAAATATTTTGCACATTCGAAGTGCTGTAGAAATGGCAGTTATTATAATAATTATTATCATTAAAATTATCATTATTACTATTATTAACATTGGAAGCTTTAGGCCTTCAGGGCACTGGTATAGTTTCTGGCTATAAGCATATATCAATGCTCTTTAAACAGTATCATAGGGACAAGGAGAAGACCTGGAGAGGATGCCATTTTTCTTCCTGTTCCCCCAAATGCCAGAGAGTTCTTAGGGAGGTGTGGCATGCAATCCCCACCTGACTCATCAGTCATCTTCCACTCTCTCCTCCCCTCTGAAGGGAAAGATGGATCTACTTATAGGACAGAGTAGAGAGAGGCTACTTGTGGTATTTTGGGCACTGAATATCTTAAACAGAATTATTAGTATTTTCTTATTTCAATTCAGTTAAAACCCAACAGTTATTTATTGTGAATGTACTATGCGCTTATCGCAGTGTTGGGTGCTAGAAAGCAAGATGCTAGTCCAAAGCCTGTAGGGTTTTGCCTCAAGGTGGGAGATTTGAAGAACACAAAAATATAACCTATGCCCTCTATCAGAAGAGCAGAAGAAGGTAGGGTTGAGAAGAGACCGGAGTTTAGAATTTCATAGCCTGTTTGCTCCCTTTATCTTTCCCTCTATCCCTAAAGAAATCCTTGAAGAAAGGAGCTGTCCATATACTTTGGAGTGGTCAAGTACTTGACTGTGGTCTTGAAGGAGAATAGTTTTTGAGCGTATATCTTATCTTCTGGGATAAAATTTAAACTCTTTATCCTGGCCTTTAAAGCCCTCTATGATCTGCCTCCAACCCATATTTCCAGACTTGTTTTATGTTACCCCCATGCATATTCCTTATATTCTAGCTAAATTGACTACAACCTGTTTCCTGACATAAGTGTGCCATCTCTTGTGCCCTTCAAGTTGGCAGAATGCGTTTTATCACAGTATTATTTCATGGGATATTTGGCCATCAGGTAACTCAGTGCTAGTAAACATATACAAAAATGGTCACCATGAAAACGATTATAGTTTACCTGCTGAGGCTGAAAAGGTAGAGAAATTCTATAAAGAACTGGATAAACCTTCCAAATGAAGTTAGCCTATACTCTGATACTTGGTGACTCCTCTGCAAAGACAGGAAAAGGTAAAGGTGGGGAAGCATTTATAAGAAAGTATAATTCAGCAAAAATGAATGAGAGATGTCAAAGAAATGAAAACTTTTGTTTCTCTCTCTACGACTTCCTTGCTCTTCCTTTAGGCAGCTTACCTAGTTCAGGCTTCCACCACATACCACCCCACTTAATTATTGCCATACCCTCCTAACTGGTCTCTCCCAACTACCATCCATCTTACATACTGCTGCCAAAGGAATTTTCTTTTTTGGCACATATCCTGCACATGATTCCACTACTCAATCAACTCTCCTGGCCTCTTATTGACTCTAACATAAAATGTAAGCTTTAGTTTAGTTTTTAAAACACTCTACAACCTGGCCCCAACTTATCATTGCAGCTTCCCTGGACATTACTTCCCCTCCAGCACTCTGCCATGCATCCAAATGAGCCTTCTCTCTGTTACTCATACCCCAAAATCCTTTTCCAACCTCAGAGCTTTTGCAATGACCTTTCCCCATGCCTGACATGTATTTAGTCCTCACCTCCCCTTTATAGAATCCCTCTCCTTTAACATGAAGTTCAAGCCTCATCTTCTGCATGGAGTCACTGTTGATTGCCCACATTTTAGGTCTTTTCCTCTCAAATAATATTACATTTGACTATTTTGTATTTATTTATTTTCTCTTTGTGCTGCATTTATTTTTATATGTGCCTATTGTCTTCCCCACTAGAATGTCATCTTGAGAGTAGAGGTTGTTTCATTTTTTGTACTTGTGCCCTTTGTGTCTAGAACATAAATGTTAACTGATTGATTGATTGACTTGCAGATTATACAGAAGCCTCATGATTTTATTTTATTTTATTTCATAAGCAGTTTTTTCAGGAAAAAAATCTGTTGTTTGCTAGATATGGTGAGCACAGAATAATATCACAAAATTAATTTGAAATGAATTCCATTTTAACAGACAGAAAAAGATTTGTTATTGATGTGAAAGTTATCCAGGAATCAATTGTCTGTGTACAGTCACACCGTTGAACTTGTCAGAGCTAAGATCAGAATTAGTAAAAAGCATGAAGAAAGAAGAATAATCAGAACAGGATCTAGTGTAAATTGAAACAACTCAATCTTGAATGATTTAGACAAGCAACTGACAATCAAAGATAGGGAATGGACAACAGAAATGGCATCAGAACCATTTTAACAGAAGTTTAACTCTTTCATCCCAAAGGCACTGAGAGATGAAAATGGAAGGACAATAAAAAGTAGGAAAATAGAAAAGATACGTAAACGCTCATTTTTTATTTTATTGATTTATTATTCTTTATTTTAACAAACTGTTTCCTCTATCAAGGAACATGGATATACTCATAGGGAAAGTAGAAATGGTATGACAAAGAATAAAGAAAAGAAAAACAAGCGAGATTGAACCAAATGTACAGAGCAGAGATCTAGACTTGAAGCCACACAATTATAAGGGTATCGAAAGATCAGTATCCTGGGTATCTGGAAAATGAAAGGGTACCAAAGACATGGGAAAAAATTCTCAGATCTTATTAATAGTGGAAAAATGTGAGCAAGGGAGCATAAATAACCATCTATGTCACTACTCTCACATCTATACCAAATCTTTATGCTAGTCTTCTCTACATGTGTAACCCGAGGGATCACCATGTTGAACTCATAGTCTGGGGAGGCAGATTTAAAAAGGCCCAAGTTTGTGGTCATTTTGCCCTTGGAAGAGCAGTTATGAAACACAAGAGAAAACTCCCTAATGATAAGGCGGGAAGTTGGGATCTTAGCCCTGCTTAGGAAAGGCCATCTCCTCTGTGTGGCTCCCAGAGCTGAGCAAAATTTTACACATGAAGCTAGGGCATTCGTGATGATGGCATGAATAGAGAACAAGTAGACTTTGATAAATATATCCAGCAATGAACCACTTCTGTAGCATTTTATAATTGACTAAAGGATGCAGATAATATGAGTTCCTATTGTGTTTATTGTTTGTTGATTAGGAAAAAGAATTTTATTCAGTGAAGTAATATACTACCTTATAGACTCTTTTTCAACCAGATGTCTCCCATCCATAGATAAGACAGACAGACAGACACACAGATAGATAGATAGATAGATAGATAGATAGATAGATAGATAGATAGATAGACAGACAGACAGACAGACAGAACGGTAGATAGACAAATAGTCAGATAGATAGATAATTGAGGTCTTTATATGTACCAGGTACTGTGCTAAGCACTGGGGATAAAACAAGAAAACAAAACGGTCCCTATTCTCTAGAAGTGTAATTCTAATGGGGAAGACAACACATAAAGGGGAGCTGGAAAATAGAAGGAGTCAGGAGTGTACCCACATAAGTGAGGAGGTAGAGCTAACATGAGAGTCCTGAGAGTGAGGTGAACTGAGAGTGAAGTGAACAGTGCTGGAATCCCTTATGAAGTGGCCATACCAGCCAGGGATTCATCAGCCAGAAGGCCAGGCACCAAGACCTTCCAATGTCAAGTTAGCCAAGTCTGGAGTGGACATGGAACAGCCCTTGGAAAGAAAAAGAATAACACCAGAAATAACCCTCTGATCAGAAACACTAAGAAAGGCACAAAGCATGGAGATGTATGCTTGTCAAAGGTGATTACCCCTCTACTGGAAAAGATTCAGAACAGATGGCCAAGTACGGGCCAGGACCCAGCTGATCTCTCCCAACATTTCCCTCTAAACAACTTTAAAATAATTCCTGAAATCAGATTTGAGAGCAGCAGAGCCAACAAAAGATCAAAAGGAGATATTTTTCTGCCTGAAACAACTTAGGAGGCCTGCAAAAAAGGTCTATAACACCTGGTTCACAATCCCAGGGCAGAAAGAGAGTTGTGATCAGTCACAAAGGAGCAGGGGACCTGATTACAATTCCAGGGCCAAGAGGAGTGCTAGTACTTGAGGCTTCAGGGGAGTAGGGGCCCTTCCTGGGTAAAGACCAGAGTGTAGACCAGAAGAGCAGTGCCCGAACCTTGCTTAGGATCACACCACCCTAGAAGCATGGAAAACTTGCATACCCCCTGAACTAGCTCTGAAAACAGTAGCACAGAAAAGCTTGGAGCTTGGCACAATGCCTCCCCACCCCTAGTTG